GATTTCTGGCTCTTCCCCATGATCAAAATGGGCCTCAAAGGTAACTGTTTTGGCACCACAGAAGACATCAAAACTAAGGCTTCGGAAGATACAACAACAGGACTTTCGTCGTTGTGGTATCTTTTGAAATAGCAATAGCAGGATCAGTGGAGCAAGTGTATGTGTTCTGACTGAACCTACTTTGAAGGTGATTATGTATATAGGTATTGTAGCACTCGAAACACTTTTAGTGGTCTGGCATACTGTGCAATGTCCTTCTGTTAATGGCACAAGACAATATGAATCTGATTGTCTCAAAAAGTTATGTGCATGAAGTCCAGGAAATGAATGGATTTTTGGTTTTGTGTGAAACAGATATGGTTATTTCTCTCTTGAAATTGAGGTATGCCAGTTCTGCTTCTGTACCTTTGTGCAAATGTGAATGCAAAATCCATCCAGCAACAACAGCTATAATTAATGCCTTGCTAAATAGATTCCAGTACCATTTTTTGTTTCTAAGTATAGGTTGATATGATCCAAGAAACCTCTCTAGCAAATTGATTCCCCCCATCCCTTCACTGTACATTTTTATAAGATATGGCTGAGAAATATCAGTTTTTCTTTTTTTGGACTTGACAAAATCTCTTAGCTTTACTGACAGGTTCATGTGTTGAATAATTGGGTGCTATGGTTACTACAGCACTGTCTTTCCAATGGCAAATGTAAACTTGTCGATAACTTCAGTAATCGAAATTTACTCTTTGCTATTTTAAAGCTTTCTTTGGAGACCTGAGAGAGCATCTTTCTGTGTGAAAATCCTGAATTGTGCCAGTTGCTCTAAAGCTCTTTTAAGATAAACCCATGAACAATTTATGGGATGAAAAAAAGGTGTAAAAAGAAATTTCGTGCTTATCTGGATTTTAAACACTTGATAGAAGTTCCCACACAACTAGATCCAAGAGGGGAGTTTTCTTTACTGAACTTTTTTCACTGTAGATTCTCAGCGTATTAATAATCATTATTGGAACACATCCATATTTTATAACCAAACTGAAATGCTTTTCCTCAGATGAACATATTAATTGAATGATAACCAAAAATGGGGGCCACCGATTCATCTATACCAATGGTCACCAAACTTATGAAGCTTCTGAGCTACTATACTGTTTTTAAGTCCTACTGTAAGCTACCAACCAAAAGAACTACCAACTTTAAAAAATATCTTACATTTGTTTATTGCCTTTCTAGTAAATATGAAATCAATTTTAGTTAAACTGTTATAACAGAAAGAAACTGAAATTGAATTGTACCTAAGACAGAAATTGAAGTTCACTTAGTAATAAATAGCAAATATAATAACATATTTTTTTATCAGACTTCTTAACTTTAATGAGAAGGATGGAACTTTTTTTGTCATCACATTTTTTAGTGTTGGAGCAGTAGGTAATGGCTGCTATTCAAATACAGTTGTCCAAGTGTTCATCAGGGAGTCTGTTTCTGTACTTATTTTTAATAAATTTCATAGTGGAAAAAGAAATCTCGCACAGATATGTAGAGCTGAGCATTGTCTTCACTTTGAGACAAACCTGGACAAAAATTGGGTACTTTCCTTTAGGAACAGGTGGCCAAATATTTTCAGAGCTTGAAGAAAGCCATTTGGCACATAAATCATTTTGAAAACCGATGAATTCTAACTCTACTGCAGCATAGTTTTCTTGAAAATCAAAATGCTCCATGACACAAGTACTCTTCAGCATTAATTTCTAGAAAAGGTGATTTGACAAACTGTGCAACAATTGACATCCTTTTGAAATCTTGAAAGTGTTTGTTGAATTCTATTCTCAGATCTGAAATAATTTCAACATATTTTTTGCTATTGTAAGGAGGAGTTGAAGACACTTGCTTGCCAATGTTTTGTTTGTTTCAAACAGGCAAAGTGTTTGTATTTGCTTTGTATGATATTTTTTCCCACAGCTTCAGCTTTTTTTAGAATGAAGCAACATCTGATATTGTTCCACTAATAGCTTTATTCTTACCGTGAAGCTGCAAGTTAAAGGTATTTAGCTTTTCAGTGATGTCTGAGAAAGAAGCAAAATCTTGAAAGACAGAAATTTCGGAAAGCTGTCAACTTTATGACATAAGTTTCTGAATTCTTTCTTTCTGCCTTCTGTCGCAAAAGGCTCCATCAGTTTCTAAGCCCACCAACTAATTTATAGGAATATTTTCTGAGTTCATAAGATCTTTAACTGCTAAAAATATGTCCTATTCTGTAGTGTGCCCTGTTAATGGTATAATCTTTACCATTTCCTCTCTTGTTTTGAAATTATCAAAACCCATTCTTGCAGAAACCTCTGCTGAGCTGTATCAACTATATCGGTTGATTCATCAAATTGCAGAGAGAAATAGTTGGTAGTGATCAAAGTTGTTAGGTAACATTGGAACTCATAACCTCAACCCTTCCAATTTTTTTGTTTGCATAAAGCTGTATAGACTTAATAGCAGATATCTCAGTTTTATTTTTAAAGCTAATATCAAATAATGCATCTGCAGCTTATAAAAATGCAACTTTGATTATTTCATCATCTTCGTATGGTCTCTTATCCCATGCAATAATATTTGAAACTTGGAATGATGCTCCAGTTGCTGCTTTGTTCTTGTTTAATTGTTTTTTAAAAGTTGATTATTGAGCATTAAGTTTAAATTCTAGCTGCCTTACGTTTTCTTTCCTTAGAGCAGAATTCAGTGGGGAATCCTTTTCAATCCCTGTGTGAATGGTTTTGAAGTGACATTCGACATTCCTGTTCTTCCCGACTCGTATGCTTGCTTAGTACAGTAAATATGCACATTTATCCTTTACTGGGTAAAGAAGTAATCAGTTTCCCATTCTGAATAAAAGTGATAAGTTTTTTTTCCCTTTCTGCTTGAACGCACCATCATTAGAACAGACCTAGCTTAGTAAAAATACATAAGTCAAACTATCCAAGTTCAGCAAATGTCTAATATACACATGAAAAACATAATGTGCACAAGCTCATGTATATATAGTCAACTGTGGCTGACAATGGCAGTTGCATAGGAGGAACAAGCAGTTGTTGTCATCAGAACCCCTTGTTATTAGCATCAGCTCAGTGGAGGAATCAAGGTTAGCCAACCGGAGTGTTAACACGATCTACCAAAAATGTGTTCGCAAGCTACTAGTAGCTTGTGATCGACAGTTTGGCAATAGTATAAGCCTTTCCAACTGAGTCATAAACTACCACTAACCTATCAATATATGTTACCTGAGTTTCTTTAGCAGATGTTGAGTAACCCCTTTACGATCTGTATGGGATTGTGTGAGGGGAGAAATGGGGAGGTTATATGGGTGTCAAAAACAGATTAACACTCATAAACAACTTTTCTCGACACTTACTGAACTTTTTACATTTGGAAAATCTTCCTCCGTGCTTCTATTCACTGTAATCAAAGTAATTTTACATGAATTTTTTAAGTTTGCTCATAGAAAAGTAAGGTAAAAGCCGAAATGATGATTTTTTTACCAAAATACTATTATTTTAGCAACATTATGTCACTGTTAAAAAAATCAAACCATATATTTTATGTCAACATTTTTACAGAGCAATATGAATAAAATTGTATTTTTTGCAAAATTTTAAAATTGATGTTTCATTAATGGAACATTGACATGTAAAGGGTTAATGTAATCATGCTTTCATATAAAAATTCTTGCTGTGCAATTTCACTCACATTTTCTTTTTGGTCACCTCTCTTTTTCACTTTGCTGTAGATTTTTAAAGTTTGTCTGATGTAAAACGTCCTTTAAGAATAAGGAGGTGCTGTAGTGCTATTTTAATTTGTGTAAAAAGGTAACAATTGAGTTCGGCCATGTGTGCAAGTTTCTGGCTTATGCATCCATCTACCATATCAAGTTATTACAACAAGCTTCTTCCATTTTCATTCCCTGAAGCTTAATGGTACTTACGTATCATCTCAACCACCTCAGTAGAAGTCGCCAAATTCTGTCAACCATATCAGAGTAATTAATGTGACAAACTCTGGTAACCATGTTCATAACAGTCCTTCTGTTAAGCAACATCACTATTTTCATATGTATTCTTTTATTTATTTATTATTATTTCCCCCTTGTCTTCAAAGTTCTAATGATTTTTGTAGACAATTCATAATTTTTTTCCTCCATTCAACTCAATTTAAAAATACTGCTTGTGGAATATGCCAGCAATAAGAGAAACTGTGGTAAACTTTATGCAGGATTAATTCTTTTCGCTACAAAATCACTAAAGACAACAATAATGAGATATGTTCGATAGACAGCCAGCATGCAGTGCCATGTTTGAGCAATTTTATGTTGTTTTTAAAGTGAAAATTGATGACTGTGTACATGGGGAAAAGAATGGCTCTAAAAATTAAAGAATGATTTCGTGAAAATGTAGTGTTTTATTATTTTTTTAATATATCACATAGTCTTTATTTAATAATTAAAATTCTGATTTTAAATTTGTTTTATTTTGATATGTTGGTTTTGCTAATTTATAGTTTGGGAATGTTTATAAAGGCTCGAAAATTGTTAACTTGCACCTGATAAGTAATTCTTATCTTTTCATCTATAAAAAATCATCAAAGTATGTTGAAGTGGTTGTGTTAACATATAGGTACTGCTGAATTTGCTAAGAGAAAAATAATTTTAATTATTGAAGAGTTAAAGGAAAATTAATTTAGAATACTGTAAATTAAAATCTTATTTTTAAATTAGGATAACTTTTTTGGCAGCTCAGAAAGCTGAAATGAAATTTTGAGAACCACTTATCAAAATTGACATTAAATATTATGAATAATGCAACAAAGGATATATTTTATGCTTTCTTTTGAAAAATATATATCTATAGATGTTCAAAAACTGCTACCTATGAAATTTTATTTCATTATATTTCTTTTTTTTTTTCCCCTAAAAATGTAATTAATTTTTTATTTGCACAAGAATTCTTGATATTTTATTATTACAGATGAGCCATTATTTAGATATTGCAGAAGTTCATATTGCAAAGCAAATTTCAATGAGATCTGAAGCATTTTTTCATGCAATGACATCCCATGATGCGTTAATGGACCAGCTAACCGATGTCATAAAATGCGTATGTGAATTAAGGTCAGTTTGTGAGTATTTAATTTCTATATACCGTTTTTCTAAGTGCTTATTTTAAAAATTAATTACTGTTATTTCATGTTACATTATTTATTCATTCCCTATATTGAATTTTTAATTAGTTAAAGTGTTTCTTTCTTTGTCATTATATCGGATAACTATAAAGCTCCCAAACTATAAGTTTAAAAATATATGCACTACATGAAAGCATTTATAAACTGCTGTGACACCACAAAATTGGCAGCACTAATTCTAATTTGCTATACTGCTAGAAATAGATGAATTAAACATGAATATGATGTAGTAGTTTATAAATTATTTTCTTGGGGCATATTTTGTAAATACTGTGTTAAAGATTTTGACGTAGGGATTTTTACATCCTATTCTCATTATCAGATCAATTTACTTCTTTGGTTTTGATCAACTGAAAATAGAAGTAGTTGCATGTTTGCATGAATGCATTTGTTAATATGGGCTTATGTATGTTCGGTTGTATATCTTGCAAAAATCAATAAAACTATTTACTAAAATCATATTTCCAGTCCCTTAAACATTTTCTTACTGTTTCTCCTATACAACAGCAAAACACTTCATGTATGAGAATTGTCAAAGACTTGAAGACACCTATTATGGGGAAAATATAGTTGCCATCAGTTATTTTTTTTACTTTACACAAATTAATAGGCAGTTGTAAAATCTTGTTCCCGTTCATTTTGATTTACACCATTATTATGTAGAGTATCAATTTTTTGGTTTGCAGTTGAATTCACAACTATACTGTGTTTTTTGGGGGGAGGAGAGACAGAAAGAAAAATAATTTATAGCTCTTTCCCCCCCCCTGAGAGTGTGACAAAAAATAGTTTCCTATGTACTCATATAATCCGTAAATAGAAGATTTTCATTTGTTATTTTAATAATCTACTGTTTCAGATTTATATCCAAATGCTATTTTTTATTTGTTTAAAAAATAAATGGTCATCATTCATTAAATAAATGTATTATTTGGTATGCTTAATTGATTTTCCATTTTTATTCTCGATACCTGCCATTCAGTCATATTTGTTTCAAATGTCTCATAATTGTTGCTATAAAATGGACATTAGTTTACTAAATATTTTGTTGCTGTCATCCAGTAATAAACTGTCAAATGCAAATTAGCTTATAATTGGTAGTCAGGATATTCGATGTTTATACTACTGTCATCAGAAGGAATCGGGAATGTTTCCATAAAACAGAAGATTTCAAACCATTGGTCAATATGTATTGCATCCTCTTTCGAAGCTGAATGCAGTGCACTTACACCATCATTTTTTTTTTTTTTTAAATTTCAGTCCTCAAAACATGTTTGAAAGTCATTTTCATTAAAAACCTAAATGTGCAATGAATTTTCTTTCTTTCTTTCCTTCCCCCACTAAAGGTGTGTTAGGCCAGAATGGCTATTAGTCTTCAAATGTCATTTTGCGTTGAATCTCTAAAAGCTTTAAATCACTTTTCAAATTATTGCCCTGTATTATATTTAAAGAAATTAAATAATGAAGACTCTGAATGAACGTTTCTCGCACTGTGAAAAAACAACGATACCTAAACCCATCGAATTTTGAATAATACAGTCCTCCAGTTGAATATAGGCATCTGGAAACCTGAATTTTGAATTTGTTTTATTATCTGTTTCATATTTTGTAAAAATTTAATGAATTTTTGATTAAAGAACTCAACTGATTTCAAAGCAAGCTGTGGCAGTGTTGTATGGAATAAAGCATTTTGGCTAATCTTTGGAATATGATAACAGGTAGTTTGGAGACATTTTGGTAAGGTGATAAAGGTCACTAGCTAGGACTTTAATCTGAGAAGTACACAATTTGAATAACAGATTATTTTGTCTCAGAGAAATGAGAGATCATGACACATGTAATGTGACATTTTCCAGAAAATTCCGATCGTGATTTTAGCTAATAAGCACTTAGAAACAATTTCGCTGCTAAAGTGCAGAATCGCCCACTTATTTGTTTGGCGCTTTTTACAAGAGTGAGTTGGAGTTTTGTCAATTTACTTTGACTTTTTAAGTGAAAATAGGTCGATGTTACATGGATAAAGTCAAGAGTGTGCGCAATGCCATTTTTGTGTAATTCTGGGATGTTTTTTTAAGTGAAAATAGGTCAACGTGTATATGGATACCGTGTATGTGCATTTCTTAAAAACGCGGCAAGCAGTGGGTGATTCTGCACTTTCTCCCAATTTTGCACCTAATCTTTGTCATGATTAAGCACTTTTGTTTCATAAAAGTTCTGGTATAAGCGTAATTTGGCTAGCAGATTGTTGGAAAAAATGTTGAGTTAAAAAAAAAATATATGCCTTAACTTCGTGAAGACAAAATGGCATCTAAAAAAAACTAGCAGGTTGCTGTAATAGGGTTGGTCGCCAAAAAATCGCCAAGTTACCATAATCCGAAGATTCACCAGCATTTTTATTTCCAACATGTGAGACTGTCTATCGGAAATTCTAAAGTTATGCTGTTTTTAAATATTTTTAGCCCAAATGCTTACAAAACATGCATGAATGTATGCGTAAATAAATAAAACTAATCCTTTTTGGGTATAAAATAAAATTTGAAAGCTTTTTTTTTTTTTTTTTTTTTTCCCATTAGCAAATTTAAACTGGTGGCTGCAAAAAAGCAGTTTTAACTGAGAAAATATAAAAAAAGTCACATCTTGATATCAGATGAATATCGGAAGCTGTAAAGTACTCATATAATATTCTTTGCGAAAAGTTTGCACAGCTTGTCAAAGTTCATGCTGCAGGATGCTACAACTTAACAATCAACCCGAATCTTTTCTCTTTCAATCATGGTTTCTATGTTTAAAGTCAAATGAAACCAACCATCATGTTATTGATAAATCTCCTAGTAAGAAAATAAGTACTGATGCAAATGCCAAAGAAACTGCTGATTGCCTGCACTTCCTTGTTGTTTCCAGTCCTTCTGGCGAATTGCAAAAGATGTCTCCTTTCCTGATAAATAAATACATTCATTCATACGTAAGTGAGCCAAGGAACATAAAGTGTCTCCATTCTGGTGACCTGCTTATCGATACTGTTTCAGCCACCAGTCTGCCTCACATTCATGTCAAACCAAACTTGGACAAGTATCTATATCTGTGTTAGCATACAAAACAATCAACTTCTGTAGAGGCGTGACTCGGAAATTGACCTTCTGTTTGTTTCAGAAGAGTTTGTTTCCGAGTTAGCTGGCCAAAAGGTTTGTGCTGCTAAGTGGATTAAGATGCGTAAGGAAGTTAGTTGATTGACTCAAAATATTTGATCCTGACCTTCAGCTTGCCTGATCTGCCGAAGAATATCAAAGCTGGATATCTTAATTGCCCCATAAGACGTTATATTTCTAATCCTATGCAATCCTTCCTGTGACTTATCGGCCATTTCAAGATGTCGTGTTGTGGAACCCTGATGTGCACTGCTGCGGCATTGTGATTAAATTGCAAGGGTGACCATCCAGCATTTTCTCGTTCCTGTCCAAAATGGAAATCAGAAAAAAAAAAAAAGTACAGATGCAAAAGTTACTAGGAACATCTTGTATGCTGAAGCCAGAAGGCTAGTTCAAAGCACACACCTTCAACCAAATATATTGTTACGGTTTTCTCTTCTGACACCAGTTGTTATGTTATTTTCTTCCTTCACGTTCGTACGGGATTCGTGTGGATTTGGAGTGAATAAGACAACACTTGATGAAGTATCGAAACGCACTTTATTGGCTAGTATTCTCAGGCAGCTCCAAAATCACTTTTACAGTAGTCGAACTGTTATAAACACGCTCTCTCATAGATTCGGATCTCTCATAGATTCATTCACACAATCTTGTCAGATGATTTGAAGATGAAATGTGTCAGTGCAAAGTATGACCCGTGGCTGCTGAATCCAGATCAAATGGAAACTCGGTAGTTAACTGCCGCAAATGTTTTGAAAAAAGCACAGAAGACCCAGCATTTCTTGAGACAATGGTTACTGGTGACGAGACCTGGGTGTATGCTTATGACCCAGAGACAAGATGCAGTCATGTGAATGGCACAAAATGGACCTCTCCTTCCTTGATCAAAGAAATCAATCATATCAACAAAAAAACAAAAGTTATGCTCATTGTGTTTTCGACACAATGAGATTCGATATGGTGCATCATGAATTTCAGTTAGTCTCAAATTGTTAATGACTCTTTTTACATTTGCAAAAAATGTACATGTACCTCTTTTTACGTGCTAGTTTTGAAAAGACTGAGGGAAGCAAGGTACTCTTCTGTTATCAGGACTGGATTCAGAAATGTGTCTGTGCATGCACGTGTCTATGCATAGTGTGGCATATGTGTGGGTGTAGACAGGCATACATACATTGTTAATTTTTTTTTTCTGACACCAGTTGTTACGTTATTTCCTTCCTTCACGTTCGTACGGGGTTCGTGTGGATTTGGAGTGAATAATAATGACACTTGATAATGAAGTATCAAAACACACTTTATTTACAAATATTATTCAGGACAGCTCCAAACACTTTTACAGTCATCAAAGATCTACATTAAACACGCCGGAACAATCAGCGACACAGCCTTCACACTATTGGGCAATAACAGTGGAGACAGCTTCACTGCAAAGCACCCGAGTACAGCTCACGACTCTGCTTGGTCGTTCTCGTTCTCGGAATGCCACATACTCTCTAGACTCTCTTTGCTACAACTGGCAATGCATTCGACGATACACAAGAGTATAGCTCTCAACACAGTCTAAGACAGAACTCGACGATGCACTAAACTCGCGATATACTAAAAAGACTCTCTTGATGCACTCAGCACTAGACTTCAAGACACGCGCTCAATGACTATCAGCTTGCTAGAGGAGGAGGCACACACACTAACTGACTGCGGATCAGCAGGGTTTATATAGCTTTCGGTTTGTGTACGAGAAACATTCTGGGGTAAGAATTCGTTCCAGAAGGTTCTCCATCCGTCCATGGT